AAAAAAAAAAAAAGCTGCAATTCACTGTCTTCACAGTTCAGCTTGTTCAACACTTCTATAGGCACTGGAGGGCAAAAAAAGTGTAGAAGAAAAGAAACATAGAAAAAGATGATCTTGCATGAACTGGTATTATTGGGCAAAGCAGAGGGACTAGTTACTCACCAAGATGAGCTGAGGGCAATGCAGGGTGTTAGCCTTCGTAATTGCAAAACCCCTCGAAAGGTTTCAAACAAATCATTCTAAAAAACTGCATAAAGGCATAAGTTGGTATGATTCCCTACAAATTTTGCACACTAAGATAAACAAGGTTTGAGGGACATATCTTCCATTTCACTATCGCTTCCCCTGAAGATTTACAACCTGATAATATACATTCCACTGATTTTTGTGGAATTACTTCTTGTGAGTAAAGATCACCCAAGTAAGCAAAAGATTTTCAGAAGATCAAACCCTTAAAATATACCTGGCCTCCCAACAAGATGATTACATTTCTTCTACCATCTCCTCTACCTGCAGAAAGAAGTAGAAAAGTTGTCCACTTTATATTGAGATAAAGTATACAGAAGTTGAGTAACTACTCCTGCTGTCCCTTATTAGGAAAACGTTTCATCCTTCTGGAAATAAACTAATTTTTACATAAGGTACTTGTGTAGTTTTAGCAGAGTGCTTTCATTCTGCCATGCTGAAGAGCTGGCTCCTTCAACGAGCCAGCTTCAGGATACCAGAACGTTATGCTGTCAACAGCATATTCAAAACCTTGTTAGACAGACTTGCTGTATGGAGGGGCTCCAGCCACAGTGTTTTGAAATGCAGCAGCAGAAGGTCCGGGAATTCGTCTTTCTTGGCACAACTTAGATTTCAGTTGATATGACCTCAATCTGGCATGGGTTTTTGTTTCATAAAACCTTCAGAAAATTAACATACTACATCTATTTTAATGATATATTGCTGCACAAACATGAAGTTATGCACAGCTGTGGTACCTATGACTATCAAACAAATTATGAGCAACATAACAAACTAACACAAGCCAAGAAGAGCCACCCATATATTGCTTGGCTATTTGCAAGAATCCTTTGTGTAGCAACAGGAAAACGCTAGAGTGAATGTCACAAAATAAAAAAAAAAACCCAACCTCTTTTGCTCTGGCATGGTTTCCTGAAATGGGTTACATCTGCTGTAACAACAACTCAACAATAACAATGATATTTGCCTTCATTACTTAAGGAATCTAGCCGCCTAATATGACAATAAGAAACAAATATACAAAACCAACCCAATTCTTTCACAGGGCTGTCAAATTAAAACAGAAGTCCCAGAATCTATCCTATAATGCTTTGCCAATTTTAGTACATGACAGTTAATAGCATGTGTTTTCTTCCATGACACTTCTGTATCAGTGAAAGTTCCAATAAAAATGCAATTTAAAAATTATCACAAATTATTTTGCTCAAAAAGTTGTTACTTATTTGGTAGATCTAATAATCTATCTGAACAAAAAGTACTTTTTTGCACTAGTATAACCACACAGCGTTAGAGACAGACTGAAAAAGTCCTCCGAGGGTAGACTTCAACTCTTGCATCTCATGTGTTAGTGACACAGAAGTGCTTATATGTATAAAAATAGGTAGAGGTTTTCATTATTAACTGTGACTGACCACATCCTGATAGAACATCACAACACTACCTCAAAAAAACAACCCAAAACAATTAAACCAAAACAACAAAAAACAAACCCACCCCTATGCCTCCCCAAATTCTCAACTACGTATTTTATCCTGCTTCACCAACGCAGACCAAAAGGAAGTTTCAGAGCAGGCTTCTTCCATTAGAAACACTTTTCAGTCCACATTCTAGTGACTTTGAAAGCATGTGACTTTTTACAACCGCTGTTCTGCTTCTCTAGACACCAGGGAGACAACAGCCTCTCTTTAACAACTTCAGAGGACCAAGAAACAATGACGCTGTATACTCCAGTGGCAAGAGATCACTGAACATCTGAAAAGCAGGCGATTTCATCAAGTGCATAGTGTTTCTTCATTTGAGCCACAGGATTTTTGTACCTTGCCTCATCTATTAAGTTAAATGGCAACAGTTAACACTATCTCATCAATTAGACGAACTTTAGGAGGAAGCCATTTAATGGCATTTCCTTCCTCTATGCAAATAACACATTTTGGCAACTAAGGGGTGAGATTTAAAGATTCTGCAAGGAGGAAGAGAAAGAACTGTGTTTACTTAGTGGTCTCTGCAATTTTGCATGTCCCTCATTTTTCTGCTGAGGTAGCAAGTGCTTGAATAAGCCTTATAATAAGATGAAAGCTTCAGAAGTTTTTGCCTTCCAATAACAACCACATGTTTCCTTTTGAAAGCCTGGGATAAGAAAATAAAAAGCTCAGCTAATTTTTACTGATGCTGTCAGTTTGTCTTTATGAAATATTTTCATGTTGCCTATTTTTTTGAGATACTGTACCTTTCCTAAAACCTAGTCTGTCAAAAAGTATGATTAACTAACCTTTGTTTATTCAAAGAGCTATACAAGTGCATTTACTAAAGCACCTAGGTCCAATACAGGATGAGTATCCACCGATGAAAGTCTCCACTCTCGTAAGACTTGGCAGCTCACAGGACACATGAGCATTTCTCCAACCCAGCTTGCTTGCAACTAGTCCCACACCTAGACCTACCTAGGGAACTCAGTCCCCTACCTGCAGTCTAGTCAAGTGCAATTGCCTCTCCAAAACACCCCTCTCCGTGGCTATTTCCCTTACACCTTAGGTTTCTGGGTTGAAAACACCATGTCCTGGTCAGATAGGACTTCTGGTTTACAACAACCATGTGAGCTATATATCATTGTCAACCTCGTATGAACTGTTACCAGCTGTGAGCTATGGCTCAATCAGGAGGTGCACAGTAACAGACCAAGACTTTCTGCTGGTTCAAAGTTGTTTTCAAGTCACTTGTTAGTTTTGCCAGTCTACATTAAACAGCAGGGAAGCAGCTAGGGCCGCAGTTTGTATCAACAGAACAAGCATAGTTGCTTATATATCAGGAATTAAAGATGCAGTGAGTTTAGAAGTGATTTTAAAACCACAGAAGCTTTATGTTACCCACCTGAGCTTTTATTTAAGTAGCAGTTAAGAAAATTCCCTAAAAAACCTTACAGGCTCTCCCTGGCACATATTTAATCAACTCGCACAGTTCTCTGGTTTCTTACACTCTGCTTCAGTGAGCCATCTACATATATTTCCTAGAAGTCAGTTTGTGAATCTGTATCAGTTCAACTACAAAGGCAGCAGGGTAACAGAAATGTCTAATAGATAAAAACCAAAACCATCACTAAGATTTAACTCCAGAAGCTTCGGGCAGGTTATAAATTATGGTCAAGACATTACATAATGTAACGATTCCTTAAAACAAGTTCCCATTTTTTCACAAGTCAGTGCTAATCTTCAACTAATATCATTAATCAACCACACTGCACTTATTTTGAAACCTGGTAGCATTTTGTAGAACACAAAATGCATTTGAAGTAGCAGAATAGAATCTTATTTCTGATTTTTTGGGGGGAAATATTTACAAATGTTTGCTCTGACATAATGATGTCACTGTCCACTATTGGACGTTATTATCCCATCACAACATCTAGCAATTTGTAGAAGCAAACAATTATAGATATACAAAACTAAAATCCTACAATTCACTACAGTTGTGTATTATGTTTGACCAACTCTACAGACAAAGTTTAAGTACTGTGCCCAGTTCTGGGTTCCCTACTATAAGGGAGACATGCACATACTGGAGAGGGTCCAATAAAGGGCCACAAAGGTGACTAAGGGACTGGAATATCTCCTGAGGGAAGGCTGAGAGCTGGGACTGTTCAGCCTGGAGAAGAGAAGGCTCAAGCGGATCTCATCAGTGTGTATAAACACTCGAACAGAGGGTTCAAAGAGGACAGAGCCAGACTCTTTTTGGTTATGCCCAGTGGGCACAAACTGAAACACAAGAGGCTCCATCTGCACATGAGGAAACACTTTTTGGCTGCAAGGGTGACCAAGCCCTGGCACAGGTTGCCCACAAAGTTTGTGGAGTCTCCATCCTTGGAGATATTAATAAGCTATCTGGACAGAGTCCTGGACAACTGGCTCTAGGTAGCCTCGCTTGAGCAGGAGGTTGGACCAGGTGATCTCCAGAAGTTCTTTCAAAATTCAATCATTCTGTGGTTTTAGACAGAGATATAATTAACATTTTATATATATATAAAAAAAATCTAATATAAAGTCTTAATATACACTGCTTCGACACACACAAACATATAAGCAAACAGTTAGATACCAATACAAACACTACCTCAAAACCAAGGAAAAATTCATTCATGTACACTGAATAATACGACTTAAATATAGTGCAAATACCTTGATGATTAAAAATCAACTATGGAAGAGCATGCTTGCTGAGATACTGAGATTTAAAGTAACTAAAGGCACTCATGCCTTAAAATGGTGGAATTGTATAAGCTTGGACCAAAGCAGAGCTGAGAAAAAAGGCTTCCCTTCTCTAGTGAAGTATGCAAGGAAATCACACTGTATCACCATGCTTTGTAGGGGCATTAGGGAAAGCTGCTCCATTCTAAGACTAAAAATAGGCATGCAGAGATTCACTTAGTTATATTAGGAATGCTAATTCCATAATGCTGTTTTAAAGAAACCTAAGTGCTTGTCAAACTCTGGAAAACAAAACCACTATGTTAGCATTTGCTGTGTCAGACACGGGCATCTCTAATGCAAGACACCAGTCTGCTCAGCGTAACACAGCACAGTAATGCCAGATCAAAAAAAGAAAAAAAGACTTGTAGAATATAAAGACCAATGTTATTCTAACTAAAAAAATTCTATATATATCTCATGTATTTGAATGTTAGTCTGACCCCTCGTAGTGTTTAACAATTGGAAATCTAGAAAGCAGAAGCTTTCAGCAATGACTGCTCGGTACCTCACCAGGATGCTCGGTTCAAAGCAGATTCAAAAGAAACTCAATTTTTATTGGCAGTCTTCTGGACATGAATTGATTAAACCAAAGTCTCATAAAATAGGGCTGTAAGAATTAAATCCGACAGCTAGTTATCTATGACTAAATCCGTTAAGAACTGCATATCCCTATAAACTGCTGGTTTTATGGCTAGACAGTAACGTTTAATAGAGCAGCACACAATGACATCACCATGCTAGAGCAAATATTCATGAACACGGACAGGAAAAAAACAAAAAGAGAATGAATTTGAAACAAAGTTCTATTTTCTTTGAACTTTCAAAGAAAAAGAGGTATGTTATGGGGAAAAAAGAGGAGGTATGTTATGGGGAAAAAAATAACATTATTTCAGATTTTTAAGATGGAGTTTGTCAAATTAAATTACTTTTTTTAAAAAAACAAAACAAACAAGTTTGGTTTTTGAAATAATCAAGACTGTAAGCACCTTGATCTCTAAAACTCCAATCACAATACTCCCAACTTTTCTATTAAACACTTAGTAGATTATACTAAAGAAAAGTTCCAAAGAGCATTTCTGAAAATTTAACTTGAAATAAGATTAATATTTTTCCAAAGTTTAGAAAGACAGAATGAAATCTTTGTCTTCAGAAATAAAAGCAGAGTCAGAGTGGAAAAAACCCACTATTGTTCGTATATTCTTCATCCGAAAATGCAGTGGTAAATTCAGAAATCAAGTTCCTCATACTTCTTACCTTATCACTTTTTTTCCCAGATTTCTTCTTCTTAGGGTTATCCTTCCAAAGAGATTCTACAGCAATATATCCCTGAAGACTCCAGTCATACAGCTGTGTACCAGCAACCTTTGAAAAACAAAAGATCTTAGAAAGCATGAACTTAATCCAGGAAACATTATTTTGCTTCTTGATTAATTGGAAGGAGTATCAAAACACAAGATCTTTTAATATCTTCCTGTTCAGGCTCAGAGTGTAGAGCATTAATAAACATATTGAAGAAAAAAAAAAAAAGGCACACAAAGTAAGAAAAGCCAACTTGCTAAAAAACTGCTTGAATATTACCTGAAAACATATCTGTATAAAAAGGGATGGAATGATGCAGTATGGAAACAATTCTGATTTTCTTAAGTATTTGACATTCAACAGGTTTAACATAAACAAATTATTTCTTAAATGGACCATGATCATTTTAAAGACAAAAAAAACACAAAATCCCCTACTTAGTTTGTCATTATTTTGTGATTTTACATTTTTACTGCTTTGACAGAACAGTAAGAGAACCCTGTGCTTCTTTTTACTTGCTGTTTAGAAGAAAGACCGAATTTGTTGATAGATAGTTGTAATGAATAACCAGCTGTCAACACAAAACAGAAGACAGCTTCGAAAGACAGTGTTTATTATACTACACCAACAGGTAATTTTATGACAGGAAAAATCCCTAAATCTAATAAAATAATATCTCCTGGCCTTTACATGATATGGAACCGTAACATTCATAGCATTCTTTAAAACTCAAGTGTTAGGTTTTTATAGCTCCAGGCTCAGGTCAGTACCCACTTTCATATCACTATCAGTTTACTTACAAATAAAGAACAGCAAAAATGGACAATTTCCCTATCTAGAAATAAGAAGGTATCACACTATCTCCCACAGCAGGCAAAGCTGGAAAGCCAAAGCTATGAGAACAGAGCAAGCATAAACGATGTCTCTGAAACAGTCTTCTGATGTGTCTGAAACAGTTCCTGAATTAAATTTAAGTTTCTTCCAGTCTCCAACGATTTGCTGCTCAGAAATTTCCAGAGCCAGAGGTAATTTCTGTGTGTGCAACAAAGCCAAGGAATTTCCCTCCTTGCAACTTGGGGCACTTCCCCTTGAACCCCATGCAAATTTTTAGCATCTACAACATCCTATGACAAGGACCTCTACTGCTGGGCACACATGGTGTGAAGAACCACTTCCCTTTGTTTGCTTGAACAAAATTAACCACACCAGTTACGTGCCACAATGGTAAGGGATGTGCTTCTGGGCAGAGATCATGTTACTACCTTACAAAAGAAGCTATTTAATAATTAGAATTAAAACAAAACAAATCGAAATCAGCAACTACATTTCTGAGTCACAACTAAACCCAACATGTGGGCTGTTTTAAATATAAAGAGCCAGCACATTTGTCACCACATTTGACAATTATAGTTGTATTTTGGTTTTAAACAAGTCAGTATGATGCATGGAGTCTTCCCTGTATTTGAAGGTGATAAAGGTTATCAGAAAAAACGCACACAAAGTGTTCTGGGGATTAATTTGCAAAATCCTTCAATTCATACATTACAGGTACAGAGAGTTATATTCTTTTTTAGCATCGGGGTGTTAATCCTCAAGTACTTCAACAAACTAGTTCTGAAAGTCAGAAGAGCCTATGGCTCATCTGGAAAGATAGTGTGATCAGTTGTGCAGGCAGTACAAACCTATCGGGACCGAAAAACATCCAGCAAACAAACAAACATGGGGGTTTTGTCTGCAATGTTACTGAGGACACAGTTACCAACATAAAATGAGAACAACAACATGAGACATTTCTTGTTCCTGCTTAATAATACTCCATTAAAATACTTAAAACCTCTCTGAATACCTAACAGTACAAACTTAAAAATATTCTTATTGCAGGGGTCATATGATCAAGTGAATTATGAATTGCACTAAATGAGAAACTGCTCGTTCCCGTTGCTGGAGTAAAGTAGCTACGTCACAAGGCACAGCAGCCCAGAGGGTTTAGTCTGCCACAGTCAACCAGTGTTTCAACATGGTTCACACCGCCCAAGAGCCAGGACCCACGAACATGTTCACAGTTCACATGGGTTGAAAAATACAATTCTATACAGACTGTAAGCTGCAAGCATCAACAGCAGCGTAGCCAAGAAATTTTGATAACCACCTACTGCATCTTCTCATGAAGATAATACCAGAGTCATCCGCTACGCGTGTGTTTTACACCTCTCTGTCATGGTGCAGTTGAAGAGGAAGTAGGTGGGTACTGCAGTTGCCACCACTATTCTTGGGAGTGGCAGTTCCAACCAGGAAAAGTAAAAGGAACAATCGTAACACAAGCAGTCCATTCAATTGTTCACAGTGCTCGTTCCAACATTCATACAATGAATTCCTTTCAAAGAGGGACAAGTTTTTCCATTCAGTCATCTGGAATTCTTAATTTCTGGAAGATAACAATTTCCAGCTTGTCTGTGTTAAATTACAACATGCTAAAATACCATCTCTGTTCAATGCAACACTGTAAGTAAGTTTGCATGTAAAATTTGATCAAACAAGTTCAAAAGTCAGATGGAGTGGTTCTCAACAGGGACTCTGAAATAGTTTGAAAGTGACCTTGGGCCACAAACACCCATACTAGGCACTACTGGGGTAGCACCAGCAGTCTCTCGGTCTCTCGGGCCTAACGTGCACGTGAAAAAGCTCTCGTATTTAATACCACACAGGACCATAAGCATATAACACTGACTATACTGTGTGCTATATGTCAAGATTATCAAGCAGAATTATAGGTAGCAATTCTTTATCTACATTGCATGCTGAGAAACTAAACTGAGAATCTGCTGGCTCTTCTACATTTATATTGTTAACAAAGTAGTCACACAGCAATTTCACAAGCATTTGATTCTGCAGCAAATGTGGTTCAAATGACTCCAACTCCTTTTCAACCCACAGTTTCTGTAACTGTGTCATGCTCTCAGCTGTGCCAGTTACAACTGTTTGTGCCTTATTGACTAAACTGGGCAAGGGACAAGGCAGGGGTTCAAAAAGACATAGGAATAATTTAGTTTGTTGTCAAAGAAATAAACTCGCATACTGGGAAGCTTTTCTTTCTTTCAAGGAGGTAAGCATAACACACACTACTTAAGCAAATTTGAGAAGTTCTAATAACAAGGAACAAAAATTAATACTAATGATAAAGATCCTGATTTAAGTAATGGAAAATTTTTTCCAGACGGAGGATAAGCCACAGTGAATGCAAAGTATTTTGAATGTACTATGATCAGCTGGAAAGCAACACAGTTCCAAAACACTAGTCAAAGTTCCACGAGAACAAAATAAACTTTAGTATTAAATTAATTTATCTTAACACATATACAGTCTGACCATTTGTTCAAAGTTATACAAACTAAAGTAATACTAGCAGTAAGGAAATAAATCCTTTACAAATTTGTGATTTATTAGAATGATTACCAAAGCAGGAAAAAAAAATTAGTCTGTGCATTTCTTCCACCGCCAGTTAGATGGATAGTGTTTGAAAACTATTACCAATTATGAACTCTGTTGCAATAACTTCACTCAGCAACTCATACGTTTTAATTGAAGAAAAAAGTTTTCTTCCAGACAGATGCATCAAGTGTTGTACCTCAACTGCAAATATATTTTGCTGTGTCTACTTCCAACCCTCCAATGGAAAGTCTTCAATAAAGGTGTGAAGGAAAAAAAAACACATCAAAATATTTTTTAGTCTTTTAAAGTATGGTCAAAGAAGGGAACAATACCACTGTAAATGAAAAAGCAGTGAAGCAGTACTCAAATGTAGAAGAAAAATAAGAATAACATTATATAAAGAATAAATTAAAAAATTAAAATTTATGTTCCCGAATATTTCCTATACTGTTTTACTAATTTGGCAAGTGAGCTTTGTACTGATAGCACCCCTTTCTAGGCTTACAGAAATTTTTTTGAAATGTCTATTAAACATTTCAAAATAATCAGTAGAGGAAAGTGCTTCCAATTTCATGTTAAAGCATAAAAATTATAGACAGTAAGATCTGATATGCTTAAAACTTTGCTTCTTTAAGAACAGAAAAGCGTGAGAGATTAGAGGAACCAAAACAGTATCTAGGATATCACTCTCTCCACAGAAGTTTCCAAACTCATATGTCTAGTGTCCTGATCAAGTCAACAAAGCTAAACCTATTCAAATCAAGTTTCAGGCTCATGGCCTCATATCAGATTTTTTGTTACAGTCAAACTAAAAACTGTGAATTAATCAAAGGGCAATCATGCACTTCAAAGTTTTTGTAAAATAAACAAGCTATTGTGAAGCTGTTAGTAGCAAATCCATAGTTAAGACTGAACTGAGCTTCTTTCAAAACAATAACATCGGTTTGAACACCATTCAATTGCTTCCCACTTCACTGTTCAGAAGGCAACCAGAATTTCAAAACAGTTTCCAAAAGAAATGTCTAAGCTTCCTAATTTTGGGGTTTGTTTTTTTTTTTCTTCCTGCCACTTGCATAATTTTCACTCCCTGAGAATAAGTCAACAGAACTATATGTATTTGGAGGATCTGAATCCTGGAAGCACTAAAAAAAGATTCCATCAAAGATCAGGGTATGACCATGCTGGCAGAGTTCAAGCACAGCATTTTTGACTCTCCTGAAATTAACGACCTTTCAGCGTACAAAAAACATCGTACGTTCTTGGAATATCCTATTTTCATCCTGACATCTCAGTGTCATTCTCAAGTCACCAATAACTGGATAGCCAATCTACCAAAGCCTGAAATAGAAAGCATTTCTGACACACTAAAGTACATGCACTGTAAGTGGTTAAATGCTGGATTTGAAAAAGAATGTGGTGGAGAATTGACAAATCTGCCAGTACAATTAAGTGTGGACAGCAAGGCATATGAACTGACATCAGGAGGGGCTGTAAGCGATTGCCTGGTCTCTTCAGTTCTTTCCTTCACAGGAAATCCACTTAAGCAACTGTAAACGAACATGTTTCTTATGTGCCTGAAACAAATAATGCATAAACAGGAAAGGCATCTAACAAGCACCAGAATTCTTACTATCTTTCTTAAAACTCCATCCAACAAAAAGTAGAAAAGTTCAATAACAATGTTTATCTCAAAATGTTATTCCTATGATTTCTCTATAGAAACTCCCTTTTTTTTCCCCTGCTTTTCTTTCAAACCCTGTTTTCCTTTGCTCTCAAGATATTTCAGGCTTCCTTAGTATTGTAAGTAAACATGCAAACTGCACTTACTAAGCATATTTACGTTAATTTATAATTACTTGAGGTTAGAGATTCAGAAAGGAAATTATGTTCCTCTAATTGAAGACACTACTGCAGACGTTAGAAAAAAAAAAGTCACTAAAAGAAACAGATTATCTGATCGTCTATCAGCCTAGACTGCATGTCCTTTGACAAAATAACTACCATTTTGTCAACCGCCAAGCACACTGACACTGCTTTTAAAAACTGATTACCAGTTAAGTCGAAGGTAGGAGTCAATAATCAAAGACACTTCTCCAAAGAACGGTATCATCACTGACCTTTGCAATAGCAACCGCTTGCTGAGGGTAATACATGGAGGCACCGATACCCATGAGACCTCCTGGATACACTAACTTCTTTATTTTTGAGCCTGTTTCATAATTAAAAAAAAAAAAATCAAAAACTTTGTTAGAGTATATGTTAACCAAGATAGCTGAATGGTCTCTACCCTTTTATTTATAATCAAAACCATTTTATTAAATACAGTGTAGCATATTTTCTGTTCAGTCCTATAGGTTTCTTAAGAAATATGATTACTCTAATCAGCAATTATTATCTTAACCTTTTTAAGAAAATATTTCTATTAACATCTTTCCATAGTGAAAATCACAATCACATTTACAACAGTAATATATAATTTATTTCAGTACTGAATGATGAAGTTAAAGCTGCAGTTAAGAGATATTTAAGAGAAATACTGATACTCTTTTCTGAACTAAAAGGAAAAACTCAGGCAAAGAAAGGTAAGGATAGCATTTTTTTGATACATCAAGCAGAACAAGAAACATTCCAACAGAAATTTTCTAAGTTACCTCCACTCACAAACATTAATTCTTCCACAACTGCTCTTACGAATATTTTTTCTTGATTCACTATAGCAATTGGCAAAGCATTTGGAAGTACTTACAATTATACTATATGCCTATTGCTCAATCCTCAAGTAAATTTTGAACCTTTTAATCAACTGGAATTCTCTATTCTATATGCCCAAAATAATTTAAATGCCTGAAAAGTTCATCCTCTTATCACAGCTGGCCACAGGTTGTGTATCCTGGCTGGCCAGTGACGATATGCATCACTGAATCAGTTACAGGGCAAGCTGCAGTTCATCCACTCAGAAAGGAACACAGAAGGGAGCAGGTAAAGGAGAAAAGCAGGGGGAAAAAAGGGCATAGAACGGACGTACAGCAGTCAGGATGCAGTAGTTCTGTTCCTCATAGAACAGCCTGTTCTCCACACGTGCTTCTATTAAGAGAGTAATGAGTTTTGAAGAGGAAATGCGTATTAGAAGTGTTTAGTGTTTCCACTAACAGATGCTCATCATGAGATGAGAAACTTAGCTGTAAACAAGACACATTCATAAAGTGATGTTGCTAGTCTCGAAGAGGGAACTTGGCACCAATTAGCTCTAAGAAAGCACAGAAAAAGCCAGCTTGTTGCATTTTCACAACCAGAAAAATTACACTTTTGGTGTAATCTCTGAGAATGGGGAAAGCTTCCTTAGTGGTAGCTTATCAGTGTGCCTACAATAGCACTTTAGGAATAAATGTAATAGTGGAAGATATTAATGCCTTATAGCAGACTGCTACCTGCTGGAGATACCGATTAGAGGGAAGTTTAGGAATACTCCCACATCCATTCCAGTACTACTCAACGAGGTTAAAACAAATCATCTTCCACGGCATTTTAAACCAAGGTGGAAGACTGCACAATATTCACAGGATTAAACTCTAAATACCATACTTTCTACTTATCTTCAAGCATTATGTGTCTTCAAGTGTTACGGTTAGACCTGGAAGATTTTATCTGTACTCTACAAGAAGGCTATTTTTCCAGTGAGACCAAGGGGGAAGGGATCAAAAAAAGAGGAAATTTGGTTCTAACTTTCTGTAGCATCAAAATTAAGAGGCACTTCCTTCTACAGTTTGAATACTGACTGTTATTCCCAGAAAGTATTTTAAACTATGACCAGACAAAAAGGTTTTAAATTATGGGTCCTATCCTAAAAGACTCACAAATCAGACATTTGTATTATGAGGGATTTTTATTTTTATTAAACTTAAGATCCTCTAATCATTCAGCTCCAGACTCAAGATTGCCCTTCCCCTCCTCAATTGTGCTGACAGTCGTAAAGGCTGGAAACTGATCTCATTCATAATTACGTAACTCGAGAAGCAGGAATCTGCAGAGAAAGAGCTTCAAATGGGTAAAGTTGGAGACCTTGATTTTCATTAAAAAAATACGCAAGGGAAAAAAAAAAAGTATTGCTTTCGTCACCTTCACTGGAAAATTAAATATTTTGAGGAGTGTATATTTAAGTGCATGTGTTCACAGAATGCTTTCCATTTCTACATAGCCAAGCACACACTTCCAGTTTATTCAATACACCTAGGCCCCACAAAGGTGTATTTTTATCCAAAGCAAGTCCTCACTAGTATTTAAATTCTAGACTGTTCCATTACCTACAAGTTTTCTTCTTGTGTTACTTTGTTTCATTGTATTAAGAAGATCTCAATACAAACACAAAATACTTTTCACAATTAACATTTCTTAAAATAGTATTTATTTCTGTGAAAGCATAAACATTAGTTTCTTCAACTAGTGTGATGAAATTAACTGTATCACATTTCTATAGCACAAAACATGCGTGTATTTATAGGACACCCAGAGTTCACAAGTATTTCTGCTGAATATCACCATCCATAGCAGCTCTGTGCCTGGACACACAGTACTTCGAAGGAACTTGAATACACAACTAATTGTACATAAAGTCATAGTCTGGGAATCTCTGTATATTACTGTAATATATTCCTCTGTAGTTTTCTGCAGTGATACATGTGATCAAGAACTTCTTAGGCTAAAATGAAAAATCTTTTCCTACTTTTGCTATAATAAGCTAGAACTGGAAAAGATCAAAGACTAGATTCCAGTAACAAATACAGTAACCATAAACAATAATCGATGGTTATTACACACCTTTTACATTAAGTTTCTTTACAATTAGAGGAACATTGTAGAAACATGCTTGTACAGTTAACTCAGATCTCATGTGCCACAATTAAAAATTAGTATCCAAACAATTACAAAGAAATTATTTTTCCCAAATCATAACATAAGCAGTTCAAAAGGTTCCCACTTACCTCTAGCAAGAAACAATCCAACAATTCCTGCAAAACCTATCACACCAAGCCTTGGATAAAATCCAGCAGGGGGGTTTTGGAGAAATTCACAGCCCTCTGAAAAGAAGTCAGAACAAAGTGCTTTAATGTAATGTGAAAGTGTTTTTGTGATAAGGAATCATCAATACATGCTAGCAATTGTTACAAAACATAAAGAGTTATCAAAACACATTTAACTATCAAGCACATTTTAGATCTGCTGGCATAAAATTCAAAGCCTTTGAGATCTTCTCTAGTGACACATGAATGAAACTGAACATCGTATTGTATTTACCAACTTTCATAGAAGCTTTTGCCTTTGCTCCTGGGCCATCTGTTTTGGTTTGCTCTTTTGCATCTTGATTATATCTTTTTCAAATTAGTGGTAAAAACCTTTGCAAAATGGATTCTTACATTTACATGTTAACAAGAATTAGTTTCAGCAAACACTGTACAAAAAACAAATGACAGAACAAAGGAAAGATACAGCATAAACAAAGCTCGCTCCAAGACAGGAGTCCAATAAGGGAATGGAAAACTATGAAAAGCCTTCCATACAAAGAAGTTCAAAACATTGAGACTTAAGTTTATGGACAAGAGGCACGGTATCTGAAATGAGCTCCACACAGCATCCATGCTTAGCCCTGAAGAGCCTAAGTATGAAAGGATGCTTCCAAACCAAAAATAAATACAAATTATTTTGGATTAATTCCAAATTCTTAGGAACTCCAAGGAAGTAAAACAAAATGAAGAAGTTGAACATTGCAAACAAAAGACCTAACACTTACAACAAATAATAAACATTGCAGGAAGTTTCAGTTACTAGACAGGGTCAAGCAAATACTACCGGCTGGGAATAAATTGTGAGGCTTCTTTGGCGCCTTCTCCTGCATAACTGTCATTTTTAGTGACATTGGTCAACATAGATGCAAGTCTCGGATTTTAATTGTCTAGAAATATAGTGTCATAATGACCTACAAAGGAAATTTAAAGATATACAGTGCAAATAAAGTAGTCTTAAATGCCTTAGAAATTATATATATAATGATGCTTAATTGAATTCTCTTTTAACAGAAGATATAGTACAGTCCTGCATTTTCAATTGCTAGTTAAGAAAACTGAACTGATTTACCTCTACCATGCTCAACAGCTTTTTCTAATTTGGGCATAGCTTTGGCATAAAGATCCTAAAAAAAAAAAAAAAAAGAAAAGAAAACAACTGTAAATAGATACCAAGTAAACAAAATATTAGCTACAGATTGTGACTGACCTGATGAAGAAAAGAAGGGAGGGGAAAGATAAAAGAAGAAGAAGAAAAAAAAAAAAAAGGGGTTGGGTCCCTAAAATAACTCCTTTTTATTGCCACTTCTGCCCTTCACTTACAAGGCTATACTTGCTCAACATTACATTTGGCTTAACATGCAGCTTTTTCTCAAAGTAGTTTTTGGACACAGATTAAATACCTCAAAACACAGAAGTCAACTTCAGTAAATCAATGAGCTCCTGATCAGACAGCTGAAACTCAGGATTATCTTAGGTTTCTCCGTGTACGTAGGCATCGCAAAAATACCCGAGCGGATGCAAGGGAAGGACAACGCTGTAATAAACTCCTTCCCAGCGCTTCACAGAGGTACCCGACTCATTCTGCAGGGTGATAAGTTCCACTTTCCAAGAGACTATCTTAGGCTAACAAAACTGCATTTTTGGAGTGACTTGGAAACTGAGATGTCCATACAACGTCCAAAGTAAATCATCATAGAGCACTGCATCAACCCCACAAAGCAGTTCTAGATTTATTTTCTCAGACTGGAAGTACGCGGGAAGTAAAAGAATTTACATTCCCTTTTGTCAAAGTAGAAGAAAAATCCTCAGTAAGAGCAACCCTGTCAATTGCTATTATGTTAATAATCCTTCAAAGAGACAGTGTAAGACTGTCTATCAATTAGTGAACAAATTCATGAACAGGTATGCCCAGCAGAAAATGGTATCACAATACCACTCGAGCTGTATCTGTGCAAAAGTGAAAGAATTTGTTTAGGATACTTGCATGGGGGATAAGATCTTTAGAACTTTCATTTCCTCACTGGAAAGAGTGACTTAAAAAAAAGATTAGTCATGGAAGAAAAAAAGTGTTAGCATGTGACACACAACATAACTCTAAATGGATGTTTGTCTTACTAAAAGCCATGAAAAAAGAGCATGTTGCTCTAAAGACCTCAGAGACTAAGTCAGTCTGATCTTCTGTCACAGCCCACACACCTGACTCATTTTTACATCTGTGTTTTGAACTAACTTTCCACTACAGTTAAGCAAGCAATTTTGAAAAAGTGAAGAGGATATATGAACATAACCAATTTTATTCTTGTTATCATGGGTTATGTTTTTAATTTTAAAGGTAACAGAGACACACCTAAAATATTATTTTCTCTAACACAGAAGAAGGTGGGGGTGGTGTAAAACCAAAACTATCTCTGACTACAGTTAAGCAAGCAAGATGATCCCAAACCCATAAAACTGACATGCTCACTTCATAAAATGAGTCAGTAAACCACTGCCAGGAAATGGCTTGTTGCGTGTGAGCAGAACACATCTTATGTAAACAATCACCATGCAGACAAAAAGATAAAGCAAATAGGAAGACAACAGGCCAGTGAAACAGAAAGCACTGTTCAAGGCTTACCTGCAGTCCGTTTAACTGGGCAACTAACCTTGTCTCAAATTTCATTCCCCAGTTACAGTTACCGCAGGCAACCAAACAGAACCCATGCATTTAGGAGGCCAGAGCTCTAACTATACTGTGGAAAATCTCCCCTTCTCCTTCAAAACTGAAATCAGTACTCCTGCTGATGGCACTTTAGAAACACATAACTAGACTGAGTAATGCTGAATATTTCTGAAAAAATATTTCAGTACTGTTAAAGGTTAGTACCACAACACCAAACTTCTAGGCAGAAAGGGAACCCTGATCTGAACAGCTTGGACGTCTATGGAGAACTGGAAAATCAGTCTGCAGCTTAAGAGGAGGATTCATAACAGCCAGAGCGCATAGCAGAGAATCACCTAAAGTTGCCAAGAGGCAACCAGATGACAAGGATGCTCTTGCTTCAAAAGTAAGCCTCACCGTTTGCTAGGTCAAGAACGAACAAGAAAGCCATCGTATGACTTTGTCATCTAATATCAATAATTTAGGCCTTGACTACAAAGATCTTGGTTAAACTCTACGCTCCAAAGACTATTTTTGTATTTAATGACTGTTCAGTACACGTTTTATTAAGTAGTATGTTTATAAGATAGTTTTGGGGTAAGGTCTCGGGGCTAGGTTCGCCACTACTAGTGGCCTGGGATTTTCTCTCTTCCAGAGAGCCACGTTCCTTTTCTGAACAGTCCAGTCAGCAAGTGCTGATTTGGTTTTCTGCAAAGTTGCACTGTGTCACAGTTTCAGTGAGGACAACTGTATCACTACCTCAAAACACACTGCTTGAGATTTTATGGCATTCTCCTTGAGCACGGAAAATGAAAATTTAATCACTCTTCTGCCTTCCTCAGTCACAGGACAGTACCAAGTCCAGATATCCCTAGCTATCTTTAAGCTTAAAGTTTATTTCAGATAGCAATTCTAAGCTTTAGTTAAATTTCCTTTTAATTCTTTTGGAGTGATATAAAAACGGGAAAAAGCAGAGGTTTAGTTCAGCAAATTAGTATAAAGAAACAACTGCTTCTGTGTGAGGAGGGGGTAAATATGACCTGAGCTGTGGAAAACGTTAAGTAATGAAGCATTTTGGAAAAATGCTTGTACAACTAGTAACTTTTACTTTGCTGCTATCTGTTAATTCTGTCTCTTAAAAAAAAAAAATTCCCAGCTCAACCCTTACACTGAACCACTACGAGATGTGACATAAAAGCATTATACCTGACACCAGGCTGTATATGGCTCCATAAGATGCCGTAAATGCGAAACCCCCTCTTCCAATTGGGTTTGTGGATTCTCCACATATTTAGTCTCACGAGCTGGAGAGGAGTAGAGTGACAGCTGTGAATATTAGCAAACAAGAGGTTAAAAACAAAGGTGTAATTGCGTTAGTAGGTCTTCAGGGCATGAACAGTCTAACCAGAGAACACCTAACACGGTGCTTACTACATAAACAACGCATAATAAAAATTCAGGCACAGCTGTGAGACAACCATTATGAGCAAAGTTTAATTATATACTAGGATGAAGATGACTTCCAATTGCTATGCAATTCATCCATAGCTGCTATATGATCCAAGTCACAGGTTATAAATTAATATTAAACTAGTTTAATAAGAACACAAAACATAATTGTGAAAAGTGTTTCTGGTCTTAATCAGCACTTCTGGTTCCCAGTTAACACACTAAATGAACTCTGAAATCACAATTGATCATTTTCTATATTTGCACAAGCCATCATTAAAGAGTCTAAGTAGCTTCTAACAAAGGTAACATCCGATACAAATTTGTCTGTTTGTTACTGAGCAGGAAAAATGGTACGACATCCCAGTGTTGCAGTCATTAACCACACCAGCATCTGACAGGATTAATAGCACCATGGGACTGAGCAAATAGGAACTGTAACACCCACCTGAAGAGCAATGGGCATCTTCACATAATGAATACTAAACTACCGTATTTGGGGTTTAGCATCACAACGTATTCATTACAATTACCTAAACAGGTTTAAAACTGTATTGCATTTAAAAAAAAGACCAAAGTCTACACTCTTAAAGGTGAACAGCAAAGTTTAGATCAAAACAAACCTGTTAGAATTCCTAGCAGCTTATATACTACACTGATATTTAGTAAAAAGAGCTTATATTTTATACCACATTTATATACTACATTTAGCAGTTTATGATAAACTGATGTTTACATGTATTGTTGCAAAGTGTAGCTAGCCCTCTTGTCAAGATAAGCTGGAAACCAACTGTATCTCTATCGTAATAAAAACAGCTGCTAACCATAACAAACTACATAATGACAGAGAATTTGTCAAATAATTCAATAACTAGTGCAGCTGGATTTCCCATAACACTTTGAGAGATTAAGTCTCATTTCCCTAGGAAATCCAGCCATCTTTGGCAATCATAGTCACAATCAGTTTAACTTCGATCCTGTCAGACAACCAGCCAGCCATGTCTGGCACACAGACAGAAGTCTCAGAGATAAGGAAATTCCCCTCCATTTTATGAAACTAGACAGCTAACAGTAGAGATACAAACTAACACACACTGTGAACGCTAAGAAAGGCAGCCAAAACTCTCCAGCTCGCACGTTCTGCTTCGCTGAAGCTGGTGGTCAAGCCAATTATTCAGCACGGACATAACTTCGAACTGCTGCCTCATTCCTGACTCACGCCAGTGGCGGCATAGGGCACGCGATGGCCCCAGCTCAGGTTACTTCAGTGGGGTGAAGCCGGGAGACTGCTTCAGCTATTGATCCTCTGGTGTTATGCAAGTGAACTGCCCATGCAGACACATTCAAAAGACCTAAATATATGTAAAAATAAGTTACATTTAGTTTCACTGCTCATGTAACAACACTTTAGCTTGGGTTGAAGAACTGAAAATTTTTAAACACTTATAAATTCTCATGGATATAAATCTGTATTTAGTTATGAACTACTTTTTTTTTTTAATGTTCGAGACTACTAAAAGCCTGTGCAACGATGCTGGTGCGTCTATAGTTTGACAGGGTGTTTTAAAGCACTACTTGTGACACAACCAAGATATTTGTAACACCTTAGAGAAACAATAAAGTAACACATTTTTTATTATCACTACTTATTGTATTTGCTGATGCTTAGGTCTGAATGTTGTAAAGAAAGGAAAACTGATAAAATTCTGATTCTGTAGGCTACTATATTGGGTTCAAAACATTGCCAGACAAGGATTTTGCCTGTAAAAGAGAGAATGTTTTTAGAAACAAAAACATTTGCTCTTTTACTGGAGAACACAAATGAAATTTTCTTAGAATGTGTCAATAGTACTTGTAATAAAAAATACACGGTGTTACCTGGATAAAAAGCAAAGAAAAATATTCCTGAGCATTTGAAACAAGACCACAAATAAATCTACAAACATAAAAAGGTAATTTCTGAATGAATAACGGAAGGCTCTAACGTAGGAAAAAGATCTTGCAGACGAGCAAGCCTGACGCTATCAAGCGGAGGGCATCAAATGCAACCCTAGGGTAAAAGAAGCAAAACCATATCAACATCTCTATTACTGAAAACAGATAAGCAAGTTTAAAGGCAAGAAAACAGCGGGTGAAGGGATGTACCTAAATGTTTTCACGCATCAAAATATAACGCCTTTCAGAATGCGTAGATAGACGAGCACTAGGGCCCTAACCATACTCACCTCCTCAATTTTCAGCAACTCCTTTTTGGAAGTCTCCTTCTCTGAAGAAGCAGCATAAACCTGGATAGAGAGCAAGCTCAGGCTAACAGGGGTGGCCCCCAGCCGAACTACCTAGAAACATTACAAGAACACATGTAAATCATTAAGTTTAAACAAAATGGCAACATGTTCGAACACGCCCAAGTAGACAATGTTTATGTCCCCTTATATGTTAATAAGTGATATATTAAGATGCTTAGAAGGCAGGAGAAAGGGGAGTCAGTGGTACAAAATCTAATGCTCTCAAGCACTCAAATGATAATACCTAAATTATTCAGATGGTATTTAGAAAAGCCTAAGGCTAAAGGAGACAGTAGATATAAATGCTTATCTGCTCAGTTTTCATCTCACAAAAAGATCTGTTTTATCTCACTTGAAACATAAGTTTTTTCAACTTTCTTAGTACAGATATTAACAACATATTCATATTTAAACAACTTTGTGAATGCCCGTAACACCTCCGTTTTTCCGTAGTTAGTACCAAGAAGTTCAGTGTTTTATTTCTAGTTATTGTCTGCATCTAGATTTAGGAAAAAAATGAGACCTACAGTTGAAATTATCAGAACATAATCACTGCTTTCTAAGACTTTTAGGAATATCTCCTACTTTTCTGTGAGAAACATGAATTACAGTGCATCGTGACAGATACTTGACTGTTTCTCAACAGTTCAGATTCATTCCAGTCACACAACACAACCACCATGATTCAGGAGAATACAATTCTTCCCGTGTTCAGGACCTACACTAAACTGTATTTCTTACAGAGGAGACACGCTTTAACTTAAAAACCAGAAGATAGAAATATTAGCTGTGTAGCGAATCAAGAACACATAGAAAGCATTTTCCAATAAATACACACCCTTATTAACAGCAACGTTTAACTCTACAGACGGCAGTTCAAATGAGAAACTTTCCATGTCTCATATTCGTGTTACTGCTCAGATAAACACGTGCAGAGTTACAACAGCCCGTGTTTTGCTGCATCAGGTTACAGCACGAGCGAATCTAACAGCCTGCGGCCACCAAACTGGAGCGGTCTGGCTCTGCTCGCAGCATCCGTTCCCAGAAGTCCTGCTGCTCACCTTGCCCTAGCTTTGGTGGCCAGACGCTTCCACCACGAGGCAATTCACCTCGCCAATTTGGCAAAAGATTAATCCTGAAAAAGAAGCGGAGAGCTTTGTGCGGGCTTAGCAAATTGAATCCATCCACAAAACAGCCTGACAAGCACCAGAGGAACTGTGTGGCCAGGGAAGAGGGGATGGAAAAGGAGAAAGCATCAAGCCCTCTTCCTTTCCAGAGACAGTAGGGGTACATTACATTGACCTAGCTGCTTGTGAAACTGAAGCTTTAGTCAAACCAACACGTCCTTCACGATGTTAGGATGACAACTGACCTAGCCACAGGACAATTACTCTGAAACTTTGTTTCTGTCCGTCACTGAACTGTTAGAAAATAACTTTAGTCTACATGCGTATTGTATACAGAGCGGCATTTGCACCTTAAATGTCTTCCACTGCTTTGCAGATGGAATATTTATTAAATGTAACCAAGAGACTCCTCAAACTCAAAATTACACTATATAGTTGTCAAACTTCCTCAAAAACGTTCATTTACATGTAGAGAAACAGCACACAAGAACTAGGTCATAGGATTGCTTTTTAGAACGACATAAGGGATCTGATGGACCAAAAGCTACAGAAAAACTTGCTTAAAATGAAAGTTTTTCCTTATTTTGAATTTATGGACTCATTATTACAGCACTATAATGAAACACCACAATGACTGGATCAGCTGTTTCACAGCCAAGGAAAGGCATGAAAAATCTCCAACAGTGTTTGCTGAAACAAAGACTTCTCACATACTTTCATTAGCCAAGATGAAAACATGAACGCCACTAACCATGAATAGCTGCAGAGTCTATTTTCTCAATCTTTCCTTTTTTCACTGCAAAACTGTTCTGTCACTGAAAAGGCAAAAATCTAAATGCATTTTCGTTCTGAAAAATATTTTCAAACAGTGTAAATGGTGCTAAATGTCATCAGCAGAATCAGTAAATCCAAATGCTTTAAACATTTGAGATTTTTATATAAAGACAAAAATAATGGAGCATAAGAATGGAAGCACCTTGGTTTCACAAACAGGTATCAGTGATGACAGAACTACTCGGACCAAAAACCTCATCTGTTCATATTATCAAAATACTGAAGTGCAGACATTTTCCAAAGGCTTCATATTTATACTTCAAACAAAATGAAAGAAACCACTAGAAGGGCAGGATGAATCTCTCCTTAAATGCAGTGTTCAAGCTATACTGCAATGGTCCTCTATACCAGCAAAACTTATGGGACAGATACCACTGGTACTAAAGTACTGTATATAGACATGCATACTCTGAAAGGTTTATTCGGTAACATGAACGATTAACTGTTCTACTTTTTGTTCCCAAAATTCACCTTAAGATCTCATTTCTTAATTCCATATTAACCACATATTACTAAAACAATTGGTTTAGTAAAACATTTTGACTGAGCTGTGCTTTCAGTCTGCCTGTCTTACAGCTGCTCAGGTGATACCAAAAAAAGTAAAGCTGATGTTCTTTTCACTAGGCAATGCATTTACTTTAAGTAAAAACAGACAAAAAGTTTATTCCTTTCTCTAGCTGAAGAATTCAACTTTATCTGTGGACTCATAAGTAAATTCTATCTGAAAGTTGAAGGGGAAAAAGACTATCACATTTCATCTTGTCTTGCTTTACTGTCTTTCTCAAAGTTCTTAACTAAAAAATGCCTCTAGGAAGAATAAATCCCATATTAGTTCTCAATACAAACAAGGGAAAAAAGAGCTAAAAAATAACTAGAACTTTTGCCTTTTTTTCCTCTTTCTTTCTTTTCCTCAGTTCACTTGTTACTGTTATTGCCACCCTGTCAAAACTGGAAAAAGAAAGAACAAAAGGGAAAAAATCCTTAATCATACTTCTGTGAAGGCTGATATTTGTCCCAATGTATGAAGCTGATTTGGTTTTCTTTTTTTCTTCTCTTCTCCATTCTTCCTCCTCTCAACCTCAACTAAAAAAACAAAACCCAAAACAACAAACTCTTGAGCACTCCTGTTCCCTAAAGCACAGATATCAAGGACAAGAAGCCACCTTCCCCTTTTGTTCTTAGGGGCAAAAAATTAGGTTGGGGCCTGAAGCACTGAAATCTGCCTAACTTCAAGAGTTGCACAAAAGCAGTAATATTATGCATAGCACCTAAACCCATCAGTTCCCACATAACCCCTTTAATGACAATTATCATAGAATGGTTTGGGTTGGAAGGGACCTTAAAGATCATCTAGTTCCAACCCCCCTGCCATGGGCAGGGAAACCCTCCACTACACCAGGTTGCCCAAAGCCTCATCCAACCTGGCCTTGAACACTTCCAGGGATGGGGCAGTCACAATTTCTCTGGGCAACCTGTCCCACTGCCTCACCACCCTCTGAGTGAAAAATTTCTTCCTTAGATCTAATCTAAATTTGCCCTCTTTCAGTTTAAAGCCATTGCCCCTTGTCCTATCACTACACGCCCTTGTAAAAAGTCCCTCTCCAGCTTTCCTGTAGGCCCCCTTTAAGTACTGGAAGGCTACAATAAGATCACCATGCGTCTGCCTTTTGTGCACCACGCACAGGGCACTCAGTTTTGAAATATTAAAGAGAGAGATTATACAGCTGCAACCAGAGTAAAACTAGCACCTTATGAGAGTCGTAGACCAAATGCACAACTGTCACCAGACAATACAGATTTTAGAAGTTTTAGCTCCAACGGGGAAAATAAAAATCTTTCTCTGGTAACAACGCCAAGGTCTTCGCTACGGCGCCTACTCAAGCGAGGAACTGAAAACTGCTTTAAAACAGCAAGGGGGAGAAACGGGGGCCCTCCCGGGCCAGAGCGCCCGCCCGCCCGTCGGGCGCCTCA